AAACACATTGTATCTAAACAGACAATGAAATTAAAAGAGACCAATTCTTCTCAAATTTTCAAGAATATTTTTAATGTGGAAAAATTTTTATTTTTACATAGGCATATTTATCAATCGTTTCTCTTCTAGTGAGTAATATTTGACTTTACTCTTTTTTGTTTCTCTCCCTTGCGTCAAAACTTAAACTTCATGGGGCTGGCCCAGTGGCACAGCCGTTAAGTTTGCACATTCCACTTTGGCATTCCGCATATAAAGTGGAGGAAAATGGGCACGGATGTTAGCTCAGGGCCAGTCTTCCTCAGCAAAAAGAAGAGGATTGGTGGCAGATGTTAGCTCAGGGCTAATCCTCCTAAAAAAATAAAAATTAAATTTCATTAATTCGATTCATATCAGTTCTTTAAAAAATCAATGACCTGGAAGTCAGGAGACTTCAATAGTAATCTTAATCTTTGTCATTTACTTGTCATCTTGGACAAGTAATTACATTTCACTAAGAACAGTTTTCTTCAGTAAAAAGAAGACATGATGATATAGAGAGATTCTTTGTGGTAGTTTAAAAATATATCCCCAAATTACTTGATACTTCTCCCTTCAAGAGGTAGAACTTAATTTCTCTCTCATTAAATATGATCTGGACTTAGCGACTTACTTCTAATGAATAGAAGATTTGAAACAAGTGGGTGTGTCACTCCCAAGCCTCAGTCATAAAAGGCATTGTAGATTCCTCCTGGCTCAGTCTCTGAGATCCCTTGTTTTGAGGAGAGCTGTCTTCTAAGATAGTCAAGCAATCATCTGCAGGGGCCCATTTGTCAAGGAACTGAGGCTTCCTGCCAACAGCCAATGAGGAACTGAGGCTTTCTAGCATCAGCCATCTTGAACATAGATCCTCCAGCCCCAGTCAAGCCTCCAGATGACTGCAGCCCTGGCTGACATCTTGACTGTAATCTCATGAGAGACCCTGAGTCAGAATTGCCCAGATAAGCTGCTCCTGAATTCTTGAGCCTCAGATGCTATGAGATGGGGCCGGCCTGTGGCCGAGTGGTTAAGTTCCCGTGCTCCACTTCAGTGGCCCAGGGTTTCACCAGTTTGGATCCTTGGCACTGAAATGGCACCGCTCATCAAGCCATGCTGAGGCGGCTTCGCACATGCCACAACTAGTAGAACCTACAGCTAGAATATACAACTATGTCCTGGCGGACTTTGGGGAGAAGAAGAAAAAGAAAAAGAAGAAACTGTGAGATGATAAATGTCTGTTTTTTAAGCCGTTAAATTTTGGAGTAATTCATTAGCAGCGATAGAAGACTAATATATCCTAGAAGCTTACAGACCTCTCAGTTTATAGTTCTACAATTTAAATGCAGGACGATGTATCTCTAGTTGCCTGTTGCTTTTACTAATACTTGACAAACTGCTTTGCCTGTTATATTTTAAAACTCTTCCTTGAAGAGGCTGCATTCCATACAATAAAACATTTTAGGCAGAAAACTAAATAACATTTTTAAATAGAGATAGTTTTCAACTGGATATTTACTATTTTGTATGTTTATGAATACCTTATATGCTTTAATAAGATGAAATCTTGGGAAATTTATCACCTTCCATAGAGTTCTGAAGCAGGAAAGGGCTCTTAGGTCCTTGGAGGGCCATCAGGAGCTATGTGGACCTCTTGACTTTGTATGCAGTGTGTTGTGTTAAGAGCATTTTTTAAAGAAAGAATGTGTGTAGCTTTTACCAGATTTTCGTAGAGTCTTGATAACCCCCCTCTTCCCCTCCTCCACCCCCCAGCCCAAAAAAAAGAGTTAAGAACCACATATCTGGTTCTCTCTCCCACCTGTGGGAATTTAGGTACAGAGAGGTAAGTGACTTACCCACGGTTAGCGACGACATCTCGCTGTTAACTCAGTGCTGAGACTCCAATCTGTGAGATAAATTTTACCTGCAAGAGGCAGCTCAGGGCAGAACAGATCTTTGCAACTCTCTCAAGTGCCCAGACCCTCAAGACAAACCTTTACACTTCTTATTTTGCCGTTGCATATCTCCTGTTCATTTAACTCATCAAGCTGTCTCAGGAAGCAGGCAGAATGTATCTCCCCCAAAAGACTCCCTTGCTGACAGATCTTTTATGTTGGTTCCTTTCAATTTCATCCTTACATTGAAGTACATAGGAGTTCAGCCAAAGTGCTTTTTTACCATGGTACCTGCTGGAATCCAAAATTAATCTGTGGAGGAAACACATCATACTTCTCTGACCTGATTACTATAGACATGTCACTTATATGTTTCTTTGGTACTTTTTGAAACCTTCATCTTTTTGCAGTACTGTTACCCATCTCTTTCTGAGCTAAGCCAGATACAAATATTATCATCAGAATAAATTAAGAGATTTGGGTTGAAGAACTAAAAATCAAAGTTACGTTCTAGTATTTATGTTAGTTCAGGATATATTCTGTGTATCTAGAAATTAGAAATTGCTAAGAACTATCCTTACATGCTGAAAAACAAGTATAAATCCTTAATTGGAGAGGTAGAATATATCTTTCATTCTTCTTATATCCTGCACAGTGCTGGTCATTCATTAGGGTTCTCTTTAAATACTTCAACACCAGTTTTTTTTTATATATGTATACACATAATCTTTATTAACTTTATGACTTCTGATATGAAAATATTTTCTTTTTCCTGAAGGCTTTTTTGTTTTTTGGTTTTGGTTTTGTTTTTTTTCCAAGTAATTTTACTGGGATTGTAATGGTTTATAACATTGTGTAATTTGGGGTGTACATTATTGTTTATCAGTTCCTAAACACACTTCATTATGCTCACCCCCAGTAGTCTAATTTTTATCCATCACCGTACATATGTGCCCCTTCATCCCTTTCGCCCACCCCGCAACCCCCTTCCCCTCTGGTAACCACTGGTCTGTTCTCTTTATCCATGTGTTTGTTATCCTCCACATATGAGTGAAGTCATGCAGTATTTGTCTTTCTCTGTCTGGCTTATTTTGCTTAACATCATACCCTCCAAGTCCATCCATGTTGTTGCAAATGGGACAATTTTGTCTTTTTTATGGCTGAGTAATATTCCATTGTATATATATACCTCATCTCCTTTAGCCATTCATCTATAGAGGGGCACTTGGATTGCTTCCACATCTTGGCTGTTGTGAATAATGCTGTAAGGAACATAGAGGTGCTTAAATCTCTTTGGATCATTGATTTCAAGTTCTTTGGATAAATAGCCAGTAGTGGGATAGTTGGATTGTATCGTATTTTTAGTTTTTTGAGGAATCTCCATACTGTTTTCTATAGTGGCTGCACCAGTTTGCATTCCCACCAGCAGTGTATGAGTGTTCCCTTTTCTCCACACCCTCTCCAGCATTTGTTGGGTTTTGTCTTAATGCCAATCTTTTTGAGGAGTCATCCTGAGCAAGCCTGGGCTGATTAAAGTCAGGGGAACCCATGTTTTAAATGGCCAGGCCTAATGGAAAAAATGTAGGAAGTCCTGGTTTTAACCACTGACTTTTACACCTTAAGCTGTCTGTACTTCAGCATTCCCAAGACAGTCACCCCATATAGATTTGCATTTATTCCCACCATCCCCGTCTACTCTAGGACACAATCTTTTCACTTTGGCCAAAGCCAAATCAGAGAAGCCATGACTAAAACTACAGTTCTGGAGAAACTGGGGCTAAAGAATCTGTGCTGACCATGAACTGCCCATGCAGGCCTAACTCGACTCCAGGCGGTCCCTGCCCCCACTTAGCTCCAGGAAACATCTGCTGGGAGCAGGTTCCTGGGCTTGAACAAATGACCGAGCATGGTCCTGGCCACTATTTAGGGGTTCTGAGAGAGCACTGCCCCTCCTCTTCAAAGGTGGAGACAGACTCAGAGCCTTGGAAACATTCTCAGGATCTTGAATGCAAATGTTTCCAGCAAATTCAGCATTATATCCTTACTTATAAAAATATGTTGTAGCACAGAGATAAAGTTAAATGATTCAAGTACTAATTGGGTGTGTTTATTTTTCCATAAACAGAAAGTTAGGGGACTATTTAGCAGGAGGAACGGACATATTTTATATTTTGGTGATTTTTTATAGTGTAAAAACAGCTCTATAAATATAAATAAATAAGAGTAATTCCAAAATAACAGATTAGTCTTGTCTGAGGAATGGCAGGAAAATCCTTTGACAAGGAAATTGTTTATTTTTAAGCTTCCAAGGGGTTGGATTTGATTATAGATGGCAGCAAAGAGCAGAGAAATATCCTTGAAAGTTTTGCAAAGAAAAACTAAGGTAAAGTTTCCTAAAAGGATAATAGATTCAACAAGTTATATGTTTTTTTAATGGAGAGAAGAAAGAAAATAAGAGGAAAAAGCCCTTTTGGTAGTGTTCTTTGAATGTATTCAGAAACTCTTTCATCTGACAGTATGGAAGTTCATTAAAATGAGTACTTTAAGAAGACAAATGTGGTTTTGGTGATTGTATTAAGAAAACATCCTCCTCCTCACCTTGAGGCAGATGTGTGGCTCAGCAGACAGAGTCAGTTGTGTTAGGCTATGATCACTTTTGCTATCTCAGGTTGCTTCAGATGGAACTTTTCAAAGCAGAGTCAAAATGTATATAACGGGATTATAAATTATTTTTATAATAGTAATATTAACATTTAAAATGATAACTTTGACTAGGAGAGCTATCTAAATTTCAGCTTTCTGAAAGGATTAGATAGTTTGATTTTGCATGCAAAACATGCCAAGTATGCAGTGAATATGAATTAAAAAGCAATATTAAAAGGAAAATGTACATAGCAGAAAATATGAAAGTAGGTAAGAGCCAATAAGCATAAATTGTGTATCTTTTACTGCCTAGTACACTATTATTGGTGATCAAGAAATATTTTTAATATTACTATTAAAAAACAAAGCATGTCAGTGGGCCCAGAGCGATTCTATTATACTCAATCAAACGATGACTAAAAATGCTTTATTTTACTCTTTATTCTACAGGTATTATTACTTGGCATTCAGAGCACATCAAACACCTCTTGCTAGCAAGGAAAGCTGTGTCGCTATCTTGGAAAAGTCCAGATTAGATGACTGGGTGCTGGGAAAAACAAAGGTAGTTCTTTCTTTATTGTTCACATTGTCACCCATGATGCTCCACTGCATACTTTTGTCTCTTGTCAGTGATGTTAATGGCTCTGTAAGTCATGTAGCTTAGCAGACGAGACCCCAACCTAACCATGATCTTTGCTCGTCTTGGATCAGGAGTCCCGGGACCTCAGGCACCAGAGAAAGACGGTTTGCCCCCTGTTATGTACTTTCAGAGCCACTTAGCATTTCTAGAATGAGATCTTTGACCTTATTTTAAAATGTCCCTTTTTTCAGTGCTACTTATGCCAGTAGCATAAGCAAATACACAAATCATATTAATGACAATAATGAGTATCTTTTATAATCTTGTACATTTTTCATTAGACTTTTGTAGTGTTATTTATTGCATACCCTGATTACTAATCTCATCATGTGTAGCTTTTCATTTGGGGGAACATCACGTCCCTGCAAGATGCCAGGTTTTTATGGTTCTTTCTGATCGTCCTACAAAGCCAGCCTTAGCCTGAGTGTTGATGACAACACTGCTGTTCCTCGGCAAAAATTAGACCACTGTGGGTCATCCAGGTCCCTGTCTTTCTGAACTTCTACTGTGGTCATGGATCAGTTCTGTTGGTTATCACCTCCCTTAGAAGCTGTGGGGAAAGACAGTAGAGGTCAAGCTGAGAAAATAGAGCTCGTGGTAGAAATGAGGTAGCCTTGCAGAACATTTGGGATCTCTTAAAACTCTGTTAACCTTATCAGCTCTTTATAGCAATAATCACAGACTAGCTCGACCTTAGAAGGGGAATTGTATTTGCTTCTAAGAAGTCAGTAATATTAGCATAAACAAGCCACTGTAAACTTTATTTAGATAATTGTTTTAATATTTACATTAAGAATATACTGGAGTAGAATGAATTTCTGTTTGGGATCCCAGATGTAATGCTAAAACTAATGTCTCGTTTCAGGTTTTTCTCAAATATTACCATGTCGAGCAGTTAAATTTGCTGCTGCGGGAAGTCATAGGCAGAGTGGTTGTGCTGCAGGCGTATACCAAGGGATGGCTTGGAGCCAGGAGATACAGAAGAGTCAGGGAGAAGAGAGAGAAGGGGGCTGTTGTCATCCAGTCAGGTAAATGGCCCTGAATCGTGGCATTTCACTAGGTACCAGGGGCCACTCACCTGTTGCTTTTCTCAGTGGTTTCTTCTCTCCTCCCTCCCTCCCTCCCTCTGTTCCTTCCCTCCTTCCTTCCTTTCTTCCTTGATACAGCAAATATTTATCAAGTGCCTACTGCAGGCCAGGCCCTGTGCTAGGCACTGGGGATGTAGCCGTGAGCAAGACCACCATGGTCACTGACCTCCAGATAAGCAAACAAGCCATCACAACACACTGTGGTGAGTGGCGAGATAGAGGCAGTATGAAGTGGACGGCTGTAAAACCCAGATCCACAGATGTGTGCCCCAGCTCCCAGGTGACTGACAATATGTGCTTCAGGTCCATCACCAGGTTTTCAGCATCAGAATTACTAATGCCGCTTCCAGAAGGCTTTCCTAGCCCAGATAGAGCTTGTAAACCAAGGGAACAAATCACTACGCTCTCATATACCCAGCCCAGTCAGTGCCTCTTTGCGTACGTGTTGTTTGTGTCACAAACAGCATTTGAGCTCCTGTGCTATTGATGAGTGGTTGTGAAAGCACCAGATCTTGAACATAGCAGATGATTTCGTGTTCCCATAATCCAGAATCATCATGTCCCTTCTGAACTTTATGACCTCACTCAGCATCATAAAGAGTTGTGATGCTTGTTGGAGGAGCAAAAAGGAGAGGTGGTCATGCTCCTGTGGGAGGCTTAAGGCTCCCATTCTGTGTCTAAAGGATTTAACACACCCAGAGATTCCCTCTTTCTCTTCTTCTCTTCATCTGTTTCCCTTGCGTTTCCTTCCCATCGCAAATTCTCCTCTTTCCTCCCTTAGCACAGTTCTTGGCACATGGTTCACCCTCACCAAATGCAAATGTTGTGCTACTAATGATTCCCTTGACTTCCCTCTTTATTTTTCTCTCCTTCGACCTTCATGTTTACACCTTCCTACCAAATGAAAGATATCGAATGGGACAGGATATTTCAGTTCCTTCCCACCCATGTCCTGAAGATAGAGCTTCCTCATTGGATTGGAGTGACAGGTGTAGGGGAGGAAGACATTTCCTCTATCTGCTTTGGGTCCTTCTGGCCAGACAACAAATTAAACTCACATGAGACAGAATAACAGGAGAAAATTAAACAAAGCTTTTTAACATGTATACATGGGAGAGGCTCAGCCAAACTGAACAGCTCAGCCAACTGGTGGAGGCTACCTGTTTGAGTATCTCCAGCTATAGAAAAGGAGGACATTTGGGGTAGTGGTTTGGGTCTTCAAAGGGGAGGAAGGCAACCCACAGGGAAATGGAAAAGCAAATGTTTGGTAAATAGAACTTTGATAAGAGTGGGCTTAGCAAGGATCCTCCCAGTCTACCGGAACCCAAAGTTATCTATTTTAAATTTCTTTTAGGCAGTTAGAGGGGAAAGGTTGAATGTTCTTGCTGAGTCTGAGCTTTTATTGTCTTCAGCTCGAAATAATCTGCATATCAGAGTGGCGCATCTTGGGGTGGCCTGCCTGAACCCCATCACAGGGAACCACCTCATCTAGAATCGGGATCCCAAGTGATTCATAAGTGGAATCCAGAGTGTTCTGGAAACTCACTGCCTGAACAAAAATAACTCCTTCTCAGAAACATCTTGGAAGCCAAGCTGAGAGTACAGAGAGGCCCTTCTTCCCCATCATCACTCACGTATCTCTGCTTATTTTGTTCAGTGAGAAAGCGGGAGGGAGGAGGAGAGGGGTAGTAGATTGGAGGGAAAACAGCTTATATCAATTCTCTGGCACGTTCTTAAATTAATGTCATTCCTAGCACATGGTTTTATATTTTTAGCCTGGAGAGGATATGATGCTCGGAGGAAATTTAAGAAAATAAGCAACAGAAGGAGTGAGTCTGCTGTTCATATTCGAGCAGGTAATTAAAACATCATTTTCTTAGCATCCACTTAGAAATATTCTGTGATTAACTTCATATGAGTTTCAAAAAACTGGAAGGTTAATAATTCGGGAGCACTGGAATAGGAATCAAGAGCTCTAGTGGAGGTTCTAGTACTTGTTCTGACACACCTTGTGTGATGATGATGAGGCTAACAGCATTTGCTGCTTGCCATACTTGGTTAATGATGCTCTCAGTAGGTACTCTTATATTCCCAATTTTGTAGAGGGAGAAACCAAGGCACAGAGTAGTGAAGTAACTTGTTTGTGATCACACAGCTCGTCAGTGGCAGAGCCGGCACTTGCATGCTGGCAGTTTGGATACAGTTAACTTCACATATTGCCGACTAAACAAATCCCTTTCCCTCTTAGAGTCACACATCCCTCATCTGTGAAATGAAAGCATTGGATAAAAAGGTCTAGAAGGTGCCTTCTAACATTGGAATTCTCCTTAGAATTCTTGGAATCTATGCAAGACCCCTCTCTTAGCATCACAGAGATTAGGAATAGCTCAGGGACTTTCCCAGCAAACTGAGTTTCCCACACCCAGGCCTGTATGTGGCTAATGTGGTCCTTTGGGCCCCGCAGGGTGAGCACCAGGTGGCTGTTGTGGCTCAGCTTGGCCTTGGCTGCCTGAGGGCTGTGAACTCTGGTTCCTGGCTCATCCATCCCCTCCCTGGCTCCTGGGTCACTCCACTCTTCTGCAAATGGCGGTTTTCACAGTAGCTGCTGGGCTGGCCTCCCTCATCATTTGAAGCTGCATGTGCCTAATTGAGGCTCTGGAAGAGACAGGCTTCAGAGCATGCCAGGAGCGTCAAGAGTGCAAGAAGTTGCAGACAGAATGAGAGAGAAATGGCCAGTCCGGTGGACTCAGCAGCAGGGAGAAGGATAGGGTTTCAGATACTGCTGCGCTTGAAGTGAACTCTTAAATAAAACAGCTGCAACCTTTTCAAGGAGGTCCCTGCCCAGAACTGGGCTCCAGGGACACTTCTCAGAACTCTCTTAGGTCACTGTAGAGGCCTGATAGCTTCATTCAAAACCAAAATATTTGGGAGGAAGGGGTGTCATTTAAATGCAAATGTTAACTTTTAACACCATCCTCTAGGAATTTTAAGCTCTACAACTTCAAAGAGTCAGGAGGAAGCATGCAATTCTAGTTGCAACCTAAGAAAGACCACTCAAAGTGCATTTGTTTCCTACTTGCGCACTTCCCAACACACACACTGGGTCCCCCATTAAGAAAAAAAGACTGGGCTGATTTCTGATCTTGTAGTTTGGCCCAAAACTCAACATATGTTTTAAAATATAAACTTTGAGCTTATATATTGTTGGTCCACTGAGTTCAGTATGTAAGATCATAAATCAAATTTTCCCTGTCTGAAAATCATCTTTAGAGGGCTCCCTGTTTGCACTCTGTGAAGCCTGCATAAAAGCAGAAACAGGGCAGCTTTGTCATCATGATATCAGGACAGTGGTGACTGCATCTTTTCAGTGCAGGATCTATGTGATGGTGCCATAGAAGGGTAATTTTATTTAGTGGAACCAGAGAAAACACATTTCTTTAAGCACTTCCGTTTTTTTTTTTTTTTTTTGGAAGCACCCACCTTCGTTAGCCTGGCAGCCAGTGTTCCCACTTATCAGGTGGCATCTGGAGCTTCCGTTAACTGAATCTCCAGGGGCTTGAGCAAGCATGAAGACACTGAGGTGGTACTAAGGCCACCTCTCCCTTCTGGAAGTTCAGTGTGGCAACCAGAGCAAAAACAGGCAGAGTGTCTGCCCTTCAGCCAACACTGTGGACAGGAATTGAAGTGTTCATTTTGTGTTATCAGTAAAGATGCATGGATAGGGTAATTTGCAATTGTATGGGCAGTTTACTTTTATTTGAGGTTTTCCTTATTTTTAGATTTGAAGGCATGATTGTGTTTATCTAGAAAGCAAAGCAACTCATTCCAACTTCTCTGTTTTGGGATGTGCTCTTCCTAAAGCATAATCCTCTCATTTCAGGCTCCCCTTTGTGCAATTGGGACATTTCTGAGTAGAACAAGCCCCGGGCATAGTGGTTCCCTTGCTTTCGAAGCCTGCAGGAAGTGGCCTAGGGAAGTTGTCGTAGCACAACCATTTCTGCTTATTTTCTGAGTTATTCTCTAATTGATTATTTTTTCAACAAATTATTTCATTTGAAATTTAGATTCTGTGGAATGCGTTTGTTTAGATTTCAAGTTCTGACCCATCATCTTTTTTTTTATGGTGTTGCTAAGATATGTTATATATTTTTAAAAGAGCAGTCCTTGAAATTTAGGAAGCATTTGGCCTACATGTTGCTACAGAGCAGCGCATATTGAAATTTGTTTTCCTTTCATCTCCTTCCCAATAAAAGCAGCCGCGCGGCTTATCCCTTTAGCTTCCTCAGAACTTCCTTTCAGAATTCCCGATCTATTACGGCACATTCACATACCAGAAACAAGATGCCTTTTCATGCTGTCAACCTTTTTCATCTGAAATGTAAATTAATTCTTGCTGGTATGCCTTGACAGAGATCAAAGTGGGGGTATTAACCTTCCTGGGCTTTCTCCGGGAATCCGTCTCCAGGACCAGCCTGCCGCTGTTAGGAGGGCAGTGTCCTTGTTCTGGGGCCCTCCTCCAGGCAGCCCTCGGTCTAGGAGCCACCATTTCAAAGGCCTGAAGTCCTTTTGTAAATGACCTCATCATTACTTTAAACAAGGTGAGAAATGATCTGCCTGGCTAATTCTTGAGAGAGAGAGATGAGACTGCTTGTTTTAATTGTGGGCTCTTCGCTCAGATTCCTGGAGCTTGTTTAAGTGGTTCTGACAGCGAGTGATCTCCGTGTGATAGAGGGAGGGACAGGGCTCCAGACTGGAAACCTCTTCCCTTGCTCAGTGGGTCATTTCTTGCCTGTCAGTCTTTGAGGTAGGCTGCATTTGCATTTTCAAAATAAACAGATGCCTTTCAAATACATGAGCTGGTGGTCTAGAGATCTCTGCGGGCCCAAACAGTTCACCAACCAGTGATCAAATGCTGGAAGAGAAAACAAACGGAAAAAAATACCCTAGGTACACTTGCATATATTTCCTACGTGTATAACATTGCGCTGGCAATAAAGGGCCTCTGTAAGACGTGGGGAGCTCGGGGAGAGAGCGCCAGGGATCCTGAGCAAAAGTATAGCTTATCAGTTTCTGTTTTGGGGGGAAAAACAACTTGTCACGTTGGTGAGAAATGGCATATTTTGTTGTGTGTTTTATTATTGGTTAATGCTGATAATAGGTTCTTGCCGTAGGAAAATACACTCCTTTAAATACCAAAGAGTTAAAAATATGTAATCAGAAAAATAAGATTGCACTTATTACTGTTCAGATAGATGGGGTATTCTGAGTAAAAACTAACAGTTATATGTCGTTCCATTATTAATCTATTATTTTTTTAAATGAACTCAAGTTTCAGAAAGTGGATATAACTGGATTTATTCAACTAAAAATGCACATTGTCCTCAGTAAATAATATCAAAACAAACAACCTGCAGGGAATTTTTTAAAGACCTACAATGGCTCGTTCTTTAAGTTTTTGAAAGCATTGGCTTTAGAATTGTCTCTCTAATTCAAGATCTGGTTTTTAAATGAGAGGAAAGTGGTGGACCTCCTGTCTCAGAGGGGAAATGCCTCAGGTAGGTGACAGTGGAGCCCCAGGGGATGGGAATGGAATTTCAAAGAGTGTCTCCCAGGAGGAGCAGCTCCTTCAGCCTCCCTTCTATTCCTCTCCCCCGACCCCTGGGAGAAGGAAGAGCCCATTGGTTTACAGCAAATTGTCATCTAATTGCTTCACTGCTGTGGAAATTGTTGTTTTCTCTTTTTCCCTGTCTTCTGATCAGCTTCCTACTTAGTCACTCCTTGGCCCTTCCAAAACACAGATGTTATCAGGAGATAACAATAGTGCTAAAAACGGTGGCCATTTCTCCTTCTGATGCCCTTTGTGGAAAGTGCTTTTTGGCGCGTCAGCCATGATTCTGCCAAGGAAGGGGGTGCCTTCCTTGAGCCTGTGTACAGGCATTTTCAACCAGCTGCAGCTAGAACCGATGAGCAAATCTGTGATGCCAGTGGAGAGTTTAAATGCTGCATCCAGAGGGGAAAGCAAACATTACGTCCAGACAGGCTCTAGCACACCCAGACCCAATTCCTGGTAGCAACTTGACAGAGGCTATTTAACTTCTTTTAGAAGCCTGACTCAATATCATAACGGAACCAAGTTTTTAGTGTTTAAAACTTCCTGAACTTTTAAACTTCTCTCGGGGTAAGGCCTCCTCCTAGCCTTTCCTAACTTTAAAAGGCTGGTTCCTTTAGCATTGTTGGTGGTGTGGGGACCTGAGGTTGGCCACCCCAAGATATGTCTCTTTGGCATCAGGATTATTTGAGGCTGATTACTTTTGATAAACTGGGACAGGGAAGGAGGCTCTGAGAAATGGAACATTTGTAAGGTAAATCTCTATCTGTAAAAGCTGCCTCCCTCTCTGTACCAGGAAGAAGAAAGGAGATGACCTTCTCTCTAAAAACTCTTAATCAATACCAAAGACAAGGACTTAAAATCTGCATTTTATTGTGCTAGTCTGGTAACCTCCTGTAACTAACTTCCCTCCCCCTCCCAACGCTGACGTTTCTTAAGGATTAAGCATCTTTCCTTAGGCTAGGAACTGATTGCCGAGCTCACCTGTGACCACCCAGCTCCAGACAATCGACTTGCCTCCTGCTACGCCCACCGAGATAGCCGACCACTACCTGCTGTGTCCATCAAGCCCTGTGCTGACGGGGCAATCTTGTGACTGTTGTGGGAGGGACATTTCAATCACATGTGAAACACCCTGTTTGGGGGTATATAACCACTATGTGCACCCCACTTCTTCGGTGCCCTTTCTTCCTTCGGGAAGAAAGGCCCCGAACCATGGTTCCTCATAAAGCTTTGTTTAATTTTCTC